ATATAAATATCACTTAAGAACTCTATTAAAACAGGCTTTCTATAATAATTTTTCCTAGAAGGCTATCTAATGACGTATCATGTACACAACACGTTTATGTAACCACCTGTCCTGTGATAGATTAACTTAAACTTGCTTCTTTGCAAGTTTAACAGGTTCCCAAGCTTAGGAAATACATATCATGTCACCTCAAAGGTCGTAAGACTGTCCTATAATTTACCTATCAGTTGGCTACCCTCCAAAACTTCGTGTGAATCCCAATGGAGAAATGTTACTGTCGGAAATAGTGTTTTGTATTCGCACGCTTAGTTCGTCGCCTAAGTAAATAGTTCTCATAATCATGTCTTAATTAAAATGCCCTTTCTCGTAACTAATTCTATTCTTATGCACGTTGTAGGAATTCTTCGCTGCTTTCACTAAGATTCTATTTATATGCCTCTTTGTTTTTAAATAAAACTGATTATAAATTTCAATTTTAAAATACACAAAATACTGATACAATCAGAGTTATTATTACGTAGATTTAATAATGGTTAAGGCTCCCTTAATGCAGCAACTGTCTCCCAGTTAATCCTCTCGGTCCACTAAATACACTCCTATCACATTCGAACACTGCTTTGAATTCTATTATGCATTCGCTTGGGTTCGGGACTGTAAAGTGTTCCCATCTCAGTTGAAATGAAGTCGCTGAGAGATTGTTCCTTTTGTCAGTCGGCTTTTGTTATGACGTCATGCAGTTCCTCTTTCTATTTATGAACTAAAGTATGAGATTATTTATTGTTTAATGAATTGTTTTAATGTTTATGATATAATTAAATATGGTAGTTTCTTGAGTTAAAGAAATTTTGCGAGTTCTCCTTGTTATATGAAACGCCAATAACCCAATGGTTAAGTGTATGGATTTCCGATCAGGTGGTTGAGAGTTCGAATTCCGCTATTCGACTATTGTCGTAAACCAAAGCACGAGGCAAATTAAAAATAATCTGCTTATGTTTTTATTAAAAAAAAAATTAAATATGATTCCGTATAACGGCCATTGAATTATAACGGCCATTAAAATTTTCCTAGCCATAATACAGCGAATGATTGAGACTGTTAGCAAAGCGCATAATCTATTACGTCACTAGAATTGCATCGCGGAGAGAGCGTTTCACCTTTGTACTAACAACGGACATACGCCGACGTCGCACGCACTAAGCTCTCGTTATCTGCCTTTGTTATTTGCACTATTTCGAGAACTAGTACCTAATTGTTTTAAATCATAAGCTACAGCGGATCTAGAAGTGTATAATAGTAACTCTTATTACCCAACTGACCAAGGAGGGGGAATGTTTAACCGTCTATGCAAGTTTTTTTTTAATAGGGTTGACAATTTTTTTTTCTTATGTTTTTTAAATTTTTTTGACAATGTTGCCATAAATGTTAATACATACTCCGTTTAGTCTTCAACTTATGTCTCATTCATGTGAATAGTGTAGCGTTGTCTGTCTGTACATCTGTTGAATGGAATTGAATGTGTCGTAATTCTTCATAACGATGTTTACACGATAATTGTCTGAGGCGACGCGAGCGCCAATTCGATTAAATTGGTTTAGTACTTACTCGTATCTACAGGATGTTCGATAAACGAAAATAATTGATATCGCTTAATTATTCTTCCATCGTATTTCCCCTTGTAATGATTGTGTCATATTTATCTGCTATTCAATTGTTTTTGTTGAATTTAACATATCGGATGTTTTTTTGTCATTGACAATGATTGAAATGGAATAATACGACATATGGTGCACATAGTGTATTGAACTCTAGACAAACTACTGTATAATTTAAGTATTCAAGTATCTATAGTAACATTTAAGTGCTAAGTAATTCAAGTAAAATTAAAAAAGTAACATCCTGTATAATTATACTTCAAGGGTCTCATTGATTGAGGCGGACGGGCGACAAATCAAATTAATTAGTTGTTGCGAGCTTCTTGCCAGAGCTACGAAGTCTACAGGCTACGATGCGATGTGTTGTTTTAGTATTTTCCTAAAGGCACCAATTTATTGATTGATCCTTTTTTAATTAAATTACTTAAAAAAAAACTTAATTGGCTAACACTTCATAACATGAATTTCAACAATGCTCCGCCATCTTTCGTCTTATACCGATCTTCTTCTAGATGAATTGTTCGAAAGAATCCTTTGTAATCATTTTCAAAGTATCTGGCATTCTTTTACAGAAATATTTGAGTGTTCTATTTTACTTTTATCCCGCAGTTTTAAGGCAGAATTCGAGCAAAGGAATGTTGGAATATTCGGAGCAATATTTTGGCAGCAAAACGTAGGTTACGTAAACAAGCAGTCGGTTGTGCTAGTTTTCGTATATTTTAGTAAATGAAGCTACATTAATGTTATAATCTGTGGCGCCAAAGGAAATTTGTAGCAACATACATTCTTTCAAAGCGACGCTATTTTGTGATGGCATTGATAAACTATTGTTTAGTCTGTTTAAGATATTCTTGAGTTTGTAATGCGGAAATATCAAAGAAAGGGTATTTTAATTAGGCTTATATCTAGTTTATGTATATTTTTGATCGGAAGTTATAAGTTCGCTTCATAAATAAATGAAACAGACAATTTAAATTTTTTCTTTCTTCTCTTAGCTTCTCAGATTTTACAGTTACACATGTCAAAACGTGAACACTTTATTATAATACTATAAGAGGTTTTACAATTTAAAAACAGACACACGCCTACATCTGTGTTACTCTCTGTTTAATCTTAATGGCGCAAACAATTCTATTTGTACAAGTGAACTTTCTCCCTATTCCTTTACCGTGTCAGGGGTCATTTGGGCACCGTGTTTGTATAACACTGGCCTAACAGCCTCGGAGAGGCTATCGACAGCTTCATCTTGACACTGTTGAGAATGCGGTGAAGCACGCAATACCACGTTGTTAGTAGATTGACTTTAAGTATTAAGACTGTTCTCTTAATTCGTATCTGTTCAATGCATACCTTGAGGAATATCATATGTAGGTAATTAATTACTGTAAAACGTAAAGCGATGATGGAAACATAATATGACAAGATATTTTATAATATAACGGTTAAAATGAGTATACCTCACCGGTCGTCGTTTCCGTAAACATTCTCGTATAATATCAAATCTATTCGCGTAGCATAATTTCTTCCCACGGCCATTTGTTTCACATACGTGCTTTGCGTGCGGTTGGTATCATCAAAGCTTTGGCATTGGTGTAGCATAATAAACTTTATCACGTCACTGCAAATTCTAAATTGCAACAACCGCATCTTTATGATGCGCTGACCATCTTACTTACTGTCAAGTCATTTTAAACTCTACTGGTTTGTGAGATAAGATTTTAAATGGCGTGATTCATGGAGATAGCTTCCGCGGCACAATCATAAGCACAATGAGTGTTAAACAGCAATGTTTTTACGAGCATTAGTGTCGCATCTATCATCTTAAGTACAGTAAGAAGTAACATAAGGACCTGCAGATGATGTTAAATTATTTCTATGCTGTAATATCCGGCTTCTCGTATTATTATCTTAATTTTTTAATATTCAAATAAGGCGAAGGAGGGAAAACTTAAGGTGGTATAACTGGCCGAAATTTTCTCAGAATAACCGTGCGCCATTAAAAGGAAGCGGCGATAATTCTTTTCATTGTTGTTAAACTTTTTTTTCGGTCGTGCAAACTGTAACGAGCCAGTATTATCGCAAAATATTTGCTCAGATTTCATCTGATTGTGCTATAAACAATATCTCAAGAAAACCCTTCCATTACCCTAATAATCAGTTTTGATCGAAGAGTGATAAGGATGGTTATATACTAGTGCAATCTTGAAATCAATAGTAGTACGTTTACTCTTATGTTGTTATTAGTAGGATGTCTCGAAAGTATACTTTAAAATTTACGTATTTTGCTTTATGACAAAATTATAGGAAGAATATTTCCTGTCAAATAGTATATTTTTTGTTTGGCCACCACTTAAGTGTGTAAACACCTTGCATATCGGATGTTGTTGTTATGGCTTTGGTTGGTTACGCAACACGCTGCAACACGACTGAACTCGATATCGCACGTGATTTGCATACAATGCCTCTTTTGCGTTGCCATAGCATCGGCCAGCAAATTCTGACCGTAAATCGTATCTTACCGTTTTCTACACATGTTGGGCGTCTTTTGTTTTACTAGAAACAAGTGAATATCTGAGAATATGTACGTCAACAATTTCTATCTTTTATCATTTAGACTTCGGTAACAGATGGATCTGTTGTCATTGTTCCTCTCGTTATCTTATTAATATTATAAATGGGAATGTTTAGATGGAAGGTTTTTACAAGGTATCTCCAAAACGGCTCAACGGATCTCGATGAAATTTGGCATATATGTAATGCACAGTCTGGTAGAATACATAGGCTGCTAAAAAGTTTTTTTTTTTAATTTCGTGCGAACGGATTAGGGTATAGGGTAGAGTTAGTTGACCGTGTTATAGTTCTTTCAAAACTCTTATAGAACAAAATAATTTAAGCGTTATCTATTTTTTTTATATTCGGCAGTCATCATTAATCAGGTGGTATCAGTTGTTACAAAAGCGGGTAATGGGGTGTGCAGTGTTGCGTTGCCAAAGCGCGGTGTACGGGCGCGGTGCGAGGTCGGTTGGCCAACACACAACATACAATGCCGGACCCCTGTTTCGTTCATCTGATAGTCACGCGGTGTGCTTCTTTTGACTATAGATGCATTGAAATAAATTAAAACTGAATACATTGAAACAAGCAATAGGTTATTTATAGTTACACAAATTCCGATTGAATGTACTACGAAGATTATGACTTGAATGATAAAACACTCAAATCTCAAATGTTAAGTCTTCAGAAGATGACTATGGAACGAAGACAGATGTACGGAATAGAAGAGGATAAGATGTACAAGTATGGAGTCAAAAGGAATCTATCCGTAATCTCTTGATGGGTTTGTTTCAGATGGTGGTGAACTTGGCGCTGGTGATCTACCATGCGCTGGATTACACGCACGCGGAGGATGAGGAGCGGCTAATCTCGCCGGACCTCGAGGGCCTTATCACCGATATGACTGCCTGCGATGCTGGTAAGTTCAAACGAGTTACGCTTGGCTTTATTTAGGACACATGTCTTTTGTAATAGTACTGAATCTCGTGGTCTCAGATTTTAGTCTTCAATCTCAAGCATACATAATTTAAAACATTATTAGTTAGAATCTTTTAGCGCGAATAACGTGCTTTCGTTACAAAGTCCAGTGTCAGAATGAATAGTGAGGGGACACAAACGTAGACATTTTAGTAAGGCTAGTGTTGGGTCAATACACTGCTACATTTTCGGATTTTATTCCTAACAAAATTAATTCATTTACGTAGAATTATTTTAATTTGTAAAAGTGCGTCTTTTATAACGCTTCATTAATTTACAATCAAGATACGGTACGAGATCTATCGTGAGATTTCGTAATATCTAAATGCTATTACACACTATCGTAGATCATCATTAGCACTGTAAATATTTAAGCTATCCATTTCTGTACGTTGGCCAGTCCAAAGTTGGCAGGATTTGTCGTAACGAGAGCTCCCTGTAACCGGATTAACTGTTGCAAAGATGACGCGTTTCACCATTTTTGAAGATAGGCTTACTTTTATTTTAGCATAAATCTTTCTATGTTAATTTGTTCTATATTTCTTAGAAATTATTGATACTTTACCGATACAAGTATTTTACTACTTTTTATTACTTTTAATCCTGCACTGACTACAAGGAAGTCAGAAACGAAAAAGTTGGCTTGTCAGTTTAAAGATATTATTTGCAGACATCTATAAACCTAGTCAGAGGAATCAAAATTACGCGTGTAATCTAGACTTTAATTAGAAATGTGAACAAAATATTTAAAGCTATTATCGCGTTCTACCACTTGATAAGAGAAATCTTTATAAAAGTGGATCTTTTAACGGCGAATTTTTTTTTCTAAACCAAATTCGTGATAATTTGAAGTAATAGAAAGGGAATTGAAAGAAATGTAACGGACGGTGAATAGCCCTTGTGGTTAGAGATATGGCACCTACAGAGAGTGCGGGTTTCTCCGCTTGAACTTTCCCCTCGCTGACCTTTCGCCAGATCACGTTATTTGTCGCAAACGCTGCCTTTGTGTGACGGATTTGAATCTGCACTAGCTACCGTTTTAAAATTAATTGGAAAATATTGAACACTAGCTGTCACCAGCGACTCCGTCCGACCGCAATTAAAAAATACGTTAATAAGCCCATATGTTCTTCCAAACAATGTTCCATCCATCCATGCACATTTATAATATTAGTAAGATACTGAGAAGATGACATTTACTATTAAACCGTACAGTTAAGAAAGATTGTTATACGGAAGAACTTAGAAAATGTGACGAGAATTGATTGATGTCTTTTGGAATTATGGAAATTGATCCGGAAAGGGTTGCATTTATGTCAAAATTATCAATGTTCTATGGAATTATTCCTCATCACACTCCAAAGTCCAAACTCCATACTGATATCAAAAGCGATATTGATAAGTGTGTTAAAAAAAAGATATTTGCGATACGATTTACTTCCTTCCGTTTATTTTAATTAAGAAACTGTAATGCTTACAATGTTTGCAAATCTGAGATTGAAGGACTATCATTTCTAACGATATTCTGTTTTTTTTTTCAATATATCCTGTTTGAAGTCCATTAATTAAAAAAATCCACTTTTGATAATATGGGTGTTATTTATTGGGGGAATTTTTAAAGATCTACATAAATTGGGGACCTTCAAGAAGCGAGCTTACCATTTTCTTAAAGGCCGGCAACGCATCTGCAGTTCCTCTGGTGTTGCAGATGTCCATGGGTGTCTTTGATCACCTCGGTGTTTCCGCCGCTAGTTTGCCCCCTTATATTATAAAAAAAAAATATGAAAAGGATCAATAAATTTAAAATATTAATTGTTTAGCCCTTTCAAGTTTTAAGTTATGTTACAGAATTGATAGTGTTTTTTGTAAGTTATGGTCACTGATGATTGCGTGTAATTGGAATGTTGGATTTATTTGTCCCATGCTGAGATCTGAATGGGAAGACGTGCGTTGTTGGTAACTAAGAACTTTCGTTTACAGTTAGGGTTACGATAGGTATGAAAATCGATGTTCATGTTTTGAACCTTGATCTTTGCTTTGGGAATGTTTTCTTAATTATATTTAATGTCATACGAGTTTTATTGTCATTATTATTGGTTTGATCCAAGTTTGTAGTCGTAGTGTTACTGGCCTTCATTTTTTTGTGATGCACCTCCGTTGTTTGGCCATACTTATGAACAAGCCATTACATGCTTTTCGGCAGTTAAATAATAGAACACATTTGATAATTTCGATAGCTACAATTATTCCCGGATTCTCATTGGCTTCATTAAGGTCATATGCTGGTGGAAGGTTTCCTTTCAAACTTTAAATGCTTTTTGAAAATGGTGGTTTACAATTGCTACGTGCAGCGCACAACTAATTAAGTTACAAGAGATAGGGTTCTAAGCTCTATTTAAACTAGACGAAAGAACAATTGCGGGAAATCTACATTCATTTATTTTTGGTATAATAAGATTCAAACTTATGACTGGTACTGCTAAGCTACCAAGATATATCTAGAGATACCGTGTGGGTCCAGTATTGTTGTTGAAAAACATTGTTGTGATTTATAAATGGCTTGCAGGAAATTAGCCGTCATTTCTTTTGATTCCACCTTTATCTCAAATTGTGTTCCTATATTTCGAGCCGCCTTTAAGTTTGAATGGAACTGTACTCTGGATGCGTTATTCACAGCTTCCGGCTATTTTATTCTATTGAGCATTCTGTTTCAAGTATACCTATTAATTACTTATTAAAACGTTCACACGATTTGCATTTGTGGTATAAATCTAAAGTGACGTACCTTCGTTTTAATAAATATAGTAAGCTTGTAAGTTAAGTATAACTTAAGTTTGAGTTCAACATGTTAAGTTGTCGCAAAAGCTACTTCGTTTACCTTAAATGACAGAATTGTTAAATGCCTCGCGGATAGGATAATAATTTTCACTTTCTACTAACACTTTAACAGCATATTAAAGTAGAGAATAAATTTAAAACAACTTGTACTCGCTTACGTTTAGATTTCATTATTTTACATTGAAATATTAGGTGAAAATTGTGCACGATTGTACTCGATATTTGCATTGGAAAAATGCGTGTTAATTGACCATAAAACGAAATTTTAGACTTTTTTAATATTGACTAAAATAATAATATTATTATTATTCTTAAAATTTGCTAATTAAAATTAATGTTGAATAACTATGTTATTACATAAAAGCTATGCGACAATATGGGAAGAAAATCTTGTTTGTCTCTTACTTAAAATATCTTCGTAACCAGAAATCTTACAATGCAATATCAACCTTTGTCCTCGGGTTAAATGTTTTAGAAATCTAAAATCATTGCAGCGTTAGCTAAGAACCTTTGTTTGTAATTTAGTAATAAAGGAAATATAATAAATAGACTTAGAAGTTCTCATAATGTACACTTTCTCTTATATTCGCATTAATTGTGAATTTAGAGGCGTTGTTATTTGAGTTTATATCGCGGTAAAGTTGTTGGCACATTGTGCCTGACCTCTGCACCGACACCGACTCAAGCGCCACACATCGTTTAACAATGAAATAGTTGATTTTCCACACTTGCATTTCACCTCCCACCTTTGTTATATTCATTCTTACGTACAGTCACGCGCATAACACTTTAGTAAGGAAATGTGTAAGCGTTATCTAATGTGAATTATTTGACACGATTTTATCATTAATATTATAAATTCGAATGTTTAGATGGATGGATGGATGAATGGATGTTTGAAGGTAGCTCCGGAACGGCTTAATGGATGTTGCTGAAATTTGGCATAGATTTAGAACGTAGCTTGGAAGAACACATAGGCTTCTTTTAAAGTTTTTTTTAAATCCTCGCGGACGCAGTTGTGGGCGACAGCTAGTTTTATATAAGATAAAATATTATACATAAACGTATGTCGTTGTGTCTGTGATTCTTATTTAGTTTTGATCTGCCTGAATCATCTCTTATTATTATCACAAAATCTTTTATTTATATTTGTTAAGCAGTTGTGTGTGTGTCAGTCCATTATAAGCGCATCGTATTTTCTACGTTTCTCTATAAAGGTTTTTATCGATCATAGTCGTTCTGCTTTGTAATCGAGTTGCAATCTCGCGACACGTTTACGGTTTCCTTGTTCAAGAAGAAATGCGACATGCCGACAGACGAAGACAGTCGGGTGCGGTGGATTTATAGCTTTATAATAGACCCGCAACGGAAGAGGTGCCGTTTTGTATAGCTAACGATTGTACATCGAAATGAAACATCTGCTACGTGTGCTAAAGTTTATGGATCATGTTGTATGATTAATTTTTACAAATGTATGAAATTTATCATAACATTAATTAGGATTGTGTTTCCAGAATAGATTAATTGTAAACAATTTTAAGTAATCCATGCAAAAATCTTTTAAACCAAAAGAAATTTAATGATGCAGGGTAGGTCTTGTTTCCTTATTTGTTTTCTGGTATAAGGAAATAAAAAACAACTCGTTCAACTATTAAAAACAATAGTAGCAAAAAATCAAATTACACACACATTTGTGTTTTCAAATATTTAGATGTACATAAAATCTGCACAATGTCACCTTTGACATCGTCTGCTATCATGTAATGTTTATAAATATTATATTTTGGAGAAAAAAATAAGTAACGATTACGTCATATATTTCTTATTATTTACCTTTAATCGGATTTCATCGTTTTAAGGTATTTACTTCATGACAAATAATAAAATCGATTTTAAATTGTTCTTAGCGAATCTTTTGTTATAACATACAAATTACAAAGTTACTTAAATAAAGAATCACTTTGCTTATCTGTTACTTTGATGATTGAAATCAAGTACAAGGGAACAATGAGAGAGAGTAAGTGCTTAAGATTTTTTATCGGAATAGCATTTTAGGGCATCGCAAATGCCGGTAATGTGGGTCAATCGGACAAGCAGGTGATC